CCCCAAAACCCCAAAACCCCAAAACCCCAAAACCCCGTGCCTATAAATTTTGATTGAAATACTCAATAATATTAATATATGAGCTCAAAAATCTTAGTCAACTCATTTTATACCAACCAAAATATTTGGGATGGTGACTGCCAAGCTATTGAAGAGGATGATTGTACTCCTCAGATTCCTAATGCAACCAGACAATTTATGAACACTTTGAAAGATAACAAAGGCAAGGTCAACAAGAAAGATTTCGAAGATGGATATTGAAACACTAATCCTACCATCGGACCCTGAGGTCAAGAAGAGCCTTCTACCTCTCAGATCATCACCAAGAACTCTGAAATCAGATTAAAGTATAAGAAAAGATGGCAATTTTTGAAGCCGAAGACTCATTATGTGAGTTTGCCAACAAACTGGATCGATCAAAAATCGGACAAGAAGGAACTCCAAGCTCTCAGAAGAGTTCCTTCAAGTGATATTCTAAGGTCTTTGCTTCCTTAGATAAGCTTCCCAAGAGTATGGATGCTTAAATATTTCCTAATTGATCATAACTAATTTCTATAAGCCGATTTTTTACAGCTGTAGTTAATAATGAAGATTTATAATAGTTGAACAGTGGTTTAATACCAGAAATTACTGAAAGTATAGCCTGAGCTAGGAGAAGCCTTTATTATTTCCAGTGGTCAAGCTTTGTAGGGAATTAAGAAAAGAGTTATAAGTTCTTAAACATCAATTTTAATGCTGATATATTTTAGTAGAAAGCCAACTGGTTGGTATAAAAGATGTAAAAATAATAGATTTTTGTTATATTAAGTAGAAGTTGGCCTATTAATAATGGCTTATTCTCATTTGTATTCTTCCCAGCCTGTTTGGGATATTATATAAATTAGCTAGCTCTTGAAGGTCTGCAAACGAAGTTGCTTCACTCGAATATGTATGATATCAATTAAAATTCTTTTAATAATAACATTCCTTCAAGAATTTCTATTACCTGATCTCAAAGTACCCACTAGGCATGCTTCAACTGAATGGAAAATTATGGACAGCTCTCAGGCAGCCATTAACCACCAATAATTCCTACTGACCTTCCTCTTCTCGCAATTTTTTTGACTTTATTATTAATATTCTCGTATTTAAATACTAACAACAAACTGACTGTACCTCTTAATAATCAAGACTGCAATGACAGAGGCCAATATTCACTTTGTTAATATATTTGGAATCCTATTAGGGGAAGGGCGTCCAGTCGTTGAGGAATAAGTGCAGTACATAGTAGGATCTGCTGGTCGCTTCTGGGTAAAGATACTGCTAGTTCAACTGAGGTTAAAACTTTAGATATAAATTACCAATAGCTAAGTATTATAGGCCTTCTTTCTGATATTATCGTCAACAAATTATGCATTCAGCTACAAGAAATTATATCATTGATAACCCAATTCTTCAAAAATTTGTTCGAATCCTACACTAAAAACCTCTCTAGAAATATCCTCACAGACTGTAAAGCCCATCTGCACCGAGCAAACACCAAATGGTGAGCACCCCCGGGTCTCCTCTACTCTAAAATATCCAATAATAGCATTTGGAATCAGAAAGAATTTCTGTTGATTTCAACTATCTCAAAATTTTTAGGGGTTTTGGGGTTTTGGGGTTTTGGGGTTTTGGGG